TACGTTAACGTTAAGTTTAAGTTAGTTTGTTTGTTAGTTGTTGTTCGTTGTTTCGTTTGTTTAGTTACGTTACGTCTCTCTTCTTCTTCTTCCTTCCTTTCCTTCCTCCCTTCCTTCCTTCCTACCTTCCTTCCTGCCTTCCCTCCCTCCCTCCTTTCTTTCTTTTCTTTCTTCTTTTTCTTTCTTTCCACATATGAGTGATCTCATATGGTATTTTTCTTTCCAAGAGGAGGATTTTGAGAAGCTGTCAGATGAAAGGGTTGGTGGGATAACGTTAGCCTGAGGGAATCTTAAGTGGCTTTAACTAGGGGAGTGGGTAAGTTTTATCCTTAAAATCTCACTCTGGTCTTGGTGTAGAGAATAATTAGGGGAGAGGCAGGAATGGAGGTGGACAGGACAGTGACCAGAGATGCTGTGTTTGCAGTTCAGGACGAAGGGAACGAGGGCTGGGTTTGAGAAGGGGGTGTAGTTGAGGATTTCCTGTGTGGGATGAAGAGACGTTGAGAAATATTTTGCTGTCACCGAGGTGTTTTTGTTGGCTTGCTTTCACTTAGAAAACATGGGTTGATGACAAATCACGCCGTACAGACTGACAGACGCAGCAGAAAAAGCCTAGTTTGTCTGCTCCATCTGTTTTCAGAAAATTGACTTTTGAAATATCTAGATAAGTGATTTTAATCTTTTTAGAGCATAGCTTTGGTTCTGAGCTATGAAATCTGTTGAACAATGAAAATGACATTTTGTAAGGGGATTTGAATTAGCAGATATGGGGTTTATTAAAGTAATTTGTTTGCAAAACCTTGATGACATTTTATATGTCATGAAATACTAAACTTAACGTTTCTTAGGGATACTGAGAATCTTTTGAGCTAAATTTGCAGCAGACTGTCTCACTTTATTGTACTTTAAGTTAATAACTGTTCATATGTTTTGACTCACAAAATTGAGAATGTTTCTCCATTATTATTAGATATGATTGAATAAAAATGACAATATTTGGCATTTTGGTCCACGTTTTTTCATAAATATTATTTTTATTAGATGCTTTAAAAGTGATAGCTTGGCACAACATTGTAAATGACTAACTCAATAAAAAAGTGATAGCTTTATTTGCATGATGTTGAACTTAGGTTTGATGAGTTAATTGATGAATTACTTTTAATTGACAGGATAATTTAAGAGACAGGATACCCTATACAAAAGCAAAGGATATCCTTCGGTTTGCTTTTTGTCATGAGAAGTTTCTCTTTTGTGAATTGTCAGATGATTTACTGGTAGAATGTAAGAACTATGTATTTGACACAATCGACATTAGAAGAAATCTATCGTTAACTTTTGGCGTTTTATTTAGGTTACTTCAAGCTGTCTAATTACTTGGAATGAATGTTTTTAATTTCTTTGGTTCAAATTCTTACAGTGTAAGAGAGCTTTCTCGGGAAAAGAGAAATACAGAGCTACATGGACGTATAATTGATATTATTGCAGTAAAGCGTATCAGAGGCTGGCATTTCTCCGATACACTGTCAACCTGACGCACAGTATTTAGGAATAAGGCCCTGGTCTAACATTTAGTTTCCTAGACTAGTTGGGGGTCGTATTTGAATATTAAATACTTTCGCATCGCCTTGGTGTGTTTATAAGATATTCTTGGTTTCTTTTGGTAACTTGGTTGTCAAAATTGTGTGTATATGTGTGTGTGTATGCGTGTGTGTGTGTGTGTGTGTGTGTGTGTGTGTATACACTTATGCCAGTTTCACAGTAACTTCATGATAAATGAAAGTCTCTCTCCCCAGTTTCTTCGTCACCCCTGGATTCAGTGCTACAGGATTGGTTGCTATAAACTTAGAAGTTTTTCCATCTTTATTTGCAAAGATAATTATTTTCGTGACTAGAAGCTTTTTCATGAGCTCACGTGAATTCCTCCCCCTTATTTCTTTGTTTTGCCTCCTTTTCCCTCTAAACTTAGTGACGTGCTCTACAAACCTTGTCTTAGATTAAAAAAAAACAAAACAGCATCCTTCCATTTCAGGCACGCCCTCTCCTCCTGCTCGCCCGCCCCCATTTTATGTAGTATTCACACGTGCTCAGGATTTGACCTTGGCTGTTCTTCCTAACCCCCCCTCTCTGCTTTCAGTTAACAGCCAGGTCCTTGCCTGCTGTGCAGTCGGATGAGAGACTCCAGCCGCTGCTCAACCACCTCAGGTAAAACCAAGGCTCAGCCCCGTCGTGCTGGTAAACCCCCCTGCATTAAAGTGGGTCAGGTAGACTGATGTGCTTATTAAAACTCCTCCGATTTCTAAAAACTTTACAGAGTTTTTCTTTGCTTTAATTCTGTCATTTCAGTTTGAGTTCTTAGTACGATACGCTTGTTACTCTTGACTTTATGGTACTACAGAAAGCTCTTTCAATTCAATAAAAGTGTGTAGCGCTGGTTGATAAGCTGAAGTTAAAATGAGGAGCAACGACTGAACACAGAAAGATCTCGAAGGAATGACCTATTACTTAACCACGAGGCTAAGGCCAGCTTTGGGAACCTGCACATATTTTATTGGCGGTAGTAGAAATAAGTTATATTTGTTTTCTAAATACAAAAATAATATATCCTTATTATTTAAAAAAGCAAACTTAGAAAATACAGGAAAGGGAGATGGAAAACCTTTCATCCTACTCAGAAATACTTCTTTCCTCTGCGCTGTTCTAAAACTCAGTGTTGAAATTATACTTTTACATAGTTGGCTATTTGTTATTTCAAAATAAACATTATAAGACTTCTGTTATTAAAATCTGTCTAAAAATATAATTTTTAGTGACTACATGGTATTATCTTATAAGATGTTTTCTTAATATGATATTTTCTTATATGACTATCCTGTGGTGCATTTATCTCCCTTTGGGGAGCATCTAGACCATTTCTTATTCTTTTCACTAGTGTGAAAAATGCTGTATTTTTTATCATTTCCTTAGCAGAGGTTTTCAGAAATGGAATCACTTTGTCAAAGCATATGAACCATTTTAAAAGATTTAAATATATTTCTTTTCCAAAAACGTTACTCTACTCATACTTTCATATTGTACAAGATCCCCCATGTTACTGTACCCCGAACAAGACGGGGCAGCCAGAACATTGCTGATTTAATAGGTTTATCATAGAGATATTGTTGGTGCCACGTACACTGCACTGATTATTATTAAGAATGTTTTGAAAACACCTTATTATCCGTTCTGATTTTGGGATGGGATTAGCTATCTGTATTGTTGTCCATTTACTGACAGCATCTCTTGATTTTATTTGATCGTGTATACTTTAGACATAAAGGATAGTAACTCTTGGTTGTATTTGATAGATTTTTCTTTCCTGAAAGGTTTTTGATAATGCTGCATCATCCAGCATACCTCCATTTTCAAGTTTTATGTAGCCAAGCACCATAACTGTTTTCCTTTATGGTTTCTTTTTATTCTTTTAAAACTCTGAATACTGCTTCTCATTTGGAAGTCAGGGTAGACCTGAATCTCTCACATCCTCTAGTGGCCTTTGTTCCCCGCCTCCCTGCTCCCTCTTCTCCTTCTCCTCTCTTGTACCCCTCCTTTCCTTCCCAGAGGGGTATTCCCCCCCAACCCCTCCTGTCCTTGTTTTGTTGGGTAGGAGGCGGGGTCCAGATTAACACTTCCAGAGGGACTGAGTTAACATAAATACTCAACCTACTTGTTGAATTTCTGAGAGCTTCGTATTCATGAGTCCTATCCCTGATCTGAGACTCTCTCTCCAGCAGCCTCTTACCTGTGCCCGACTTGCCCTCTCTGAAATTTCTCACTCCCTGCTGGAGCGATTCTCTTATTCCTCAGTTGAAAACCACTCTGCCTTCCCCAGCTTCACCCGGGCTCAAGGGAGAAGCCCGTAGCCTGGCACGTGAGGTCCTTCTGGCGGGACGGAGGCTGGCCTGCCTGCGCCCTGGCGGTGGGTGCCTGGACGTTCTCCCGGCCAGGGCGCCCTGTGCCTCTGCCCTTGCCGGTGCCTCCCTCCCGCCTGGCCTGCTCCTCTCCCCGCCTCCACTTCTGTCACTTGACCGAATGTGGCTTGTTCTTCAGAACTGAGTCTGCTGCCTCCTCTGATCCGCCTTCCCTGACCGCTTAGTTCTCTGCGGCCCCTACCCGTCTCAGCCTCCTGTTTTGTGCATGTGCTCCTGTAACACCACGTGGGCCCCCCCCCCCCATAATACAGAGCCGGTGATACTGCCCTCGCTGGTTTCCTTAATTCTGCTTGAGAGCTTACAGAGTCACCTTCATGAGAGGTATGCATTATGCGTTTTGCTGAGTGAAGTGGTGTTTTATACCCATGATATTTTGTTGGGTTTTTTTTCCTGCATGAAGTTTCTATAATTTATAAATCGTATCATGACAGTTCTTTTCCCTATAAAACCACTGATTCACAAGACGTGAACCTAAAGGGCTGACCCTCACCCCTAGTCCACGCTTGGTTCTGGGTGATAGTGATGGATTCTCCTTCCTCCACCTCCATAGTGTGGTAATTGTCAACTAGAATTTAGATGAACTACCGACACGTTTTTGAGTCCTTGGAGCTTGCACAAACTGTGCACTCGCTCAGGGCTTTCACTCTCTGTGCAGGTCACTCATGGCTGGTTGCTAGGCAACCAGGGATAGACGCCACATGTGATATGCACCAACTGATGTTGCTTTTTTTGTTGTTGTTATTAAACCAAATGGTTTCTCATTTTATTACCGTGTCAAAGACATCTGTATACAGGGTGGCAGGTGATGTTTGACACTTCCCATTGTATGAAGTAACCTTGTGGAAGCCTTTCAGGTGTATTGAATTGCTTCTTTTGGCTGTCTAAATGTAACGTGTTTCTTTTGCCTTCCTTTTGCTTAGGCCCCAGTAGAAGAGAATAACACTCTTTGGTTTGAAAGAGTCAAATGATAATCTTGTTAGGGAGAAATAATCATCACTGATTTGCAGAAACTGT